ATCCATTCATTACTCGTTTTTTGCACAAATTTACTTGAGTGAAGGAATGAGTATGTGTGTGTGTCCCTCGTAAAATGCGATAATGTCTGAAGGAGCTTTGGCACTACGTCCACACTCCTAAAGCCAGTCCGATAAACAGCATTTGGCATAAACTTATAGTAAAGTCGAACGAGATTTATAATAAGGCCTCAGCTAAAGGAAAAACGATAAAAAATTCAGTGCAGCATTAGCCAATCATTCCATGTGGATTCGCATACTTGCGTAAATCACCTATACGATGTCGTCCAGATAGGGTTTTAACTTGAGTTGCTTTGGGATAACGAGCAAATGTAAGGAATTTTCTTGTCTGAGGAAATTTTGATATTCTTCTTACCATTTGTAACCTAATTGCTTGGATTAGAATCAAATATTCCAGCGAAATAATGCCAGCGCATGGTTTAATGAATGAACGTCAAGCGACTGGTTTGTCGAAAGGCCACAAAATAGGTTGATGAGAGGGCGGATAGATGTATGGATTACTGGAAGTATGGACAGATGTATACAAGGACAATTAGAATTCATGCAGGTGTTAAGCAACTAAGGAATGCTTAAAGGCACCGATGAGCTGCTCGCTGACCTCTGGTTAGATCCACAAAATCCTAGCTAAATGCATCATTTTCGACGTTACCGACTTCTTTGTTTGTGCCAAACAAGCCAGTTAAAAAAGGTGGATCAAGCATACATTCACGTGAGTAGAACATCAATCTCACCGCAATGTGGAACTGCACAAGTTCCATACTTTGCTCTCGTGACCATGCACCATGGACCGCGTGGATCGTCATCCGGATTGCGGCAGTAATTTGACTGCTCCTGCAACACCGAGGCATTCCAACTGGTCCGTAGATGTAGATGCGTGAATTCACTCCACGGTAGACAGGGCTCACCTGCTGCCGTATGATTTAGAGTTCCATTGTAGGGCGGTCCACTCTGTGTGTAGCATTCCATTGTGGATGGTTCACTAGCGCCAAGGAATGGCCACGCCAGGAGGAGGGAGAGAAAGCTCACCTCCAACAGCGGCATCATGTACAGTGACAGAATGAATAAATCTGGCCGAATGCTGCTGCCGTTGTGTTTGTCGGTGTGTGTGTGTGTGTGTGTGTGCGTGCACGACGTGTTTATTTACCAACCAATAGAATCGCGATCGTGTGGTGTCATCGATGCGCATTGTTGTCTGAAGGGAACCGGACAGATGAACGATTACGATGCCAAACGCTTGTATACAAACCTAATTAAGCTACACAACACCAGTGTTAGTAAAATTTTCTCCATTTTTGTCTGCTATCACCTCACTTTACCAGTACATCCTGTTGTAGACACTTTGAAGTTCACAATTAGCAAATATGGAAAACAGTAAACAACTTTTCATCCTCTTGAGCAGATCTAAGCCCCTGTGAAGGCGAGTTCGGTGGTACATTTGTGGTCCTTATATTTAGGGTCATCACAAAACGTTGGTGTGAACCGGTCTTTTGGGCACAGAGTAATCAGGCTTGAAAGATTGCCAGCGATTAGAGTGGATCGAGGTTTCCCCTTCCTCCTCTTTCCACCTCTCCAAGTGTCCACTCACATGCCTCGAGGGAAAATCAAACGCATCTCCACCTGTTGGCCACTGCTTTGCCATGTTCACCTTCGTAGTGGTTATTTTCCGTGTTTACGGCGAACTTTGGAACACAAAAGTTTACTACGAAATGTTTGCTCACATAAGGACAAACATCGATCACAATTGGGTGCCATTTGCTTCCCACGGTTTTAAATGGACTAAAATAGCACCCATAAAATGGTCCGCAGTCAGAAGGTGGAAAGAGAGATGAGACCTCAAAGGAGGACCGTCGTCTCACCAACGCCTCGCATT